CAATGTACCAAAAGGCTAATTCCTCCATCTAAAAATAAATTTTAGTAATGTTGAAGAGTTTAAGAACCAGGCACAGATTTAAAAAAGAAAATGTTTTTTAATAAAGGATATGAGAAAAATGTTCTACATGAAGTATATAAGGATATTCAAGATTTAGAACAACTGATACAATATAAAAATTATAGAAAAGAAACAAAAGAAGATTGTAGGATTCCGTTAAATTTTTAATTATAATTCTAGGCATAAAGAATATGTAAAACAGTTAATAAAAATTGGAATATTTTGCAACAAGATGTGGATTTAAAAGATTTTATAGGACCAAAACGAAAATTGATTTTTAGAGGGGCAAAGAGTTTCAAACAACTTCTAACCTCAGGTTTTTTAGAAAAATAAGATATCCAAAATAATTTTAAGTTGTTGCATACTAATGTGCCTACTTAAAGATACAATAATGGCAGACACAGTACAGTAGTGCAATGTCTCAATTTGTCATGAGATAATATACCGACTTTTCACATATGTTACTGTAACACGGAGCATATCCCAAAGAAGGGAAGCATGATGGAGGAAGAAAAGAGGGAGTAGGAATAATTAAATGATGTAACATTGCTAAGTGCACCAAGGAAAATAAAGAATTGAAGTAATAAGCAAAAAGAGAAATATAGGGAAAGAATGGAATAAGAAAGAAAACCTGTAAATAAAAGGAAATAAAGTGGCCAAAATCTCTGGTTAACATGGCTCGGCTAATGAGCATAGGTGGAGATAACATTCTTTTAGCTCTCAGTTCATGATGGCTGCAGGCATAACATTTGATCTTAGTATGTAGACCTAACATTGTGTTGGCATGTTAGACGGACACTCATTGGGCTACCTAGGAGCTCATGTAATCGTCTGAGCGGCATGGGCCTCCATGAAGGATTCCCAGGGTTACCAAATGTGTTGGTATCTCTTATGATTATGAGAAGATCACCTCAATTCCTCCATTATCCTGTAGTTTTCCATCTTAGCTATCCAGTCTCTTAAGTTGGAGGTTTGTTAGATTTCTAGAGACTTGTTACAACCGTTTTTGCGGCAGTTAGCATGAAATAAAGGAGGGAATATTTCAGCTCAGATACAGGAGTGTACAGCCTTAGTAGTAGCAGTGTATCTATGTCTGGAAGAATGTGAATCCCTGAAATAGTTATGACAGTGCAGTGTATTTGTGTCCAATATCCCGTTATACCCTCACATTCCCACCATATATGTTTGAGATCCCCTATTGCGTGTCTGCATCACCAGCAAAGTGGTGACACCTCCTGATAACATTTTTTTTAAGTCTGATGGAGTCATATACTACCTTGATATTAGCATATAGATACAACTGTCAGTTTTATGTTTATTTTTGGCAATGGATAATAAAGCCTGTTATATCATTGAATATATGGTTAAATGGTTATATTTTGCTATATTGCAACAATCTTCTCACACATTGTTTACTGTTGTAGACATTTCATTCAATCAATTATTTTTATGAAATACCAAACCAGGGATTCTCACATGAGGTTTCCCTGGTTTATATCTTTACTATAAAGGCTAAGCCCTGGGTGGAATTGGTACCAGCCCCACTGACCAACCGGCTTCCGGGATATTCTCGGTATAGGGGTGACTAGGTCTATTAATTTTGTTTTATTAACCAGTTTAGGTGCGCCGCTCTTAGCACTGTGTGCTTACGAGTGTGAACGTCAATAGTTTACAAAATGAGGTGAGAAGATTTTATCGGTTCTGATTAGAAGTGCTCTCTGTGTCTGATATCTGTGTCATATGAGCCTTTTTGATAGTTAAATTGGGCAAATTGTCAGGGGGTGTTTTTGATACTGGTGTAAGAGTGTTACTTACATAGTTTACATTCCCTTTTTATTTATTTTTTTATGGACAATAACAAAAAAACACGTCAATGTAAGGTGTAAAGGTGACATTGGAGGATTAAGAGTAAACCTTTTGCAAAGGTTGTATTGGATCTAGAAGGTGGAGATATGTCCCTTAATAGGGTTTTGAACCTGGGTCCAGATGGATCAGGGCTCCCTGACTCAGCATGTTTATGGGGTCTTCCTCATATGGGTCGATGTGTTTCCAAACAATACTACAATGTGTGTGTGGGGATTGATGAGTGATCCAAATCCTCATATGACCACAGTAGTTAAGTTTTCATTAAAGGATCACTATAGGGTCAGGAACACAAACATGTATTCCTACCTCTATAGTGCTAAACCCACCATTTAGCATTTAGGTGGCTTGTCCCCACTTAGCCCCCCTATAAAAGTTTAAAACTCACCTTATTTCTAGTGCCACGTGGGTCTGCCGGCGCTGGCTCCACCCCCTTTGTGACATGATCAAAATGGTGGATTTTTAGCCAATCCAATGCTTTTCCATAGGGAAAGCATTGGATAGGCTAAAATTGACACGTGGAGGGGCCAAATGCCGTTTTGGCCTATCAGGACCTCCTCATAGAGATGCAGTGACTCAATGAATCTTTATGAGGACAATTCAGTGTCTCCATGCGGAGCGTGGGGACGCTGAATGACAGTGCTGCCTACTGTGCAGCCCTGAGCCAGGAAGCTCCTCCAGTGGCCATCTGAGGAGTGGCCACTTGGAGGTGTCCCTAGGGACAATGTAAAAAAGGCAGTGTTTACAAAATAATGCCTGAAGGGAGCTATTATACTCACTAGAACAACTACATTAAGCTATAGTTGTTCTGGTGACTATAGTGTCCCTTTAATGCGAATTTGTGTGGGGCCTATTGTCGCTTATGTAACAGTTAAGGGAGGAGGAGAGGTGGGAGTTTTGTGGAGTTGTAGGAGGTTGTAAAAAGCTGGGGTCCAGACTAAAACATAATCATTAACAAGGAGTTCCGACAGATATAAGTGGCTGAGACCCCATGTTAGTTGTGCCGAACCTTAAAAAAGGCACAGTCCTCCTACCCCACCTGTGGGAGCATTGATTGTAGTACATAAACTAAATATTGAAAATAACAGTAAATAACAACATCTATCCTATTTTAGGGAAATCATAGCTAGCAGTCATATATCTACTATAACAGTTATTGGTGGTGAGGTGATTGTGGACGTGTATCAGGTATCAAGCATAGGTTCGATACTCACAGAGTCCATTAACTTTAGCCTGAGTAGGCAATTCAACATTCTATCTGTGTGGAATCAAGATATATACAACCTGAGAAGTCAGTTCATGGGTCCCAAGGATCTTGTCTGGCCCTAGAATGTGGCAATTGCAAGAGCTGTTTGTTCGTGGGCCGTTTCTTGTCAGGTGTCGGTTTCCATCTATGCCTCTGGAGTAGTGTGGCCGTTGGGCCCATTGATGGGGTAGCATACCAGTCTGGTATGTCCATATGTGGGATACAGAGTTTCTTCAAGAATTCCGGGACAAGTTGCTTGTTGTCATGTAGAAGGGTGAAGGAAAAGGGGTATCCCCATCGATATTTGGTGTTGCGGTCTTGTAAGGTTTGGGTGATCGAGCGCAAGAGTCTTCTTCCCTGGAGTTTTGTCCAGGACAAGTCTGGAAAGACTTGGATTGTGCCATCTGTATTTTGTAGTGCAGGAGAGTCTTTGGATGATTTAAGAATATTTTCCTTCTCCGTGTAGTAGTGGATTCTGCAGATGATATCTCTCGGCGCCTCCTGGGCAATGCTCTGTGTGCCCTGTCCATAAGTTTCGGCGTGTCCAGGGGTTGCTTGAGTATTGAGTTATAGAGATGTTGTAGTTTATTAAATATGTCTTCTGGTGTTTCAGGGTCTTCTTGTAGCCTGTTATGCAGAGATTATTACGCCTACTCCTACTATCAATATCTTCCACGTGTCGGGCAGAAAAGGAGTATAGGGACTCCAGTGATCCCTGCTTTGCCTCCACTGCTGACAGTCTGTGCAGTATGTCTTCCTTATCGCCTCAAGGTCTCTGACTCTGTGGCTAATATGGCGGACGTCTGATGCAAGGGCTGATAGTTTTCCCTGTAACGATGCTTCCAGTTCCGCCAGCATTGCCGCCATATCGGACTTCAACGGCAGGTGGAAGCGTCTGATTGCTCCTTGCTCACGCCTGCCTATTTCGTCATTTTGACGAAATGGGGGGCGCGGATTCACGAAGCTCCCGGCGCTGGAACCAGGTGAGTAAAATCCTCTCCCTGGAGAGTCCCTTTAAAGGTCAGACTTTATGAATTTACCTCAACTGAGATGAAGCTTAGAACCGCCGTTGATGCGAGTGCATCATTATGAGATGACGTTGGATGCTGCGGCATCACGACGAGCGTCATGACATAGACGGCGGAAATTACATGGTGATACCCTTTGAACCCGGAAGTCTGAAAGAAAACAAAAATGAAGTGGAAAGCTGCATGAAACACAGAATAAAAAGCGGAACTGGACAAATTAACTTTATGCACTTTGAAAAAAACTTATGTAAGGTCGAAACACGTTGTGCTGTGTGCTGTTGTCCGTAATATTTTTATACTTTTAACCTTTTGGATTATTCCCTTATAAAGTGTTTTGAACCTGACTCAGTCTGGACCAATATTATTAAGGTGGATGAAAAGGATCTAGTGGAAACTCTTACTGCGAGCAGAAATCCAGAGAGCGCTGATAGTCTGAGTCTGCTTATTAACAGGCTCAGCAACATGTAAGTTTCACCATCTTGATTTTGTTTATTATACTTGGCTTTAATATGCTAAACTATGGTCTATGTTCTATGTTCTGTTGCAGATCATAAGTGAATGTGCCTACTACCTTCAATATTTTAAGTGGTAGTATTTATTGTGTAGGGTGTCAGGTCTCACCTGTTGTGTGACTTTTTTTTAAAAAACGCTCTGGAACTATTTTGGGCATAAGACCACGTGTGCGACCAGTCAGAACTTTATCATGTGGTGTGTCTCTTACACTGCATGGATCTGAGCGCTATTTGGAGAACTTGGGCGCTCAGATCAGAGCTATTAGGGGATATATTATTTGTGGGGTTATTTTATGTTTTTATTATGTTTTGAGGTACTTGTATGTTTTTATGTTTTGTGTTGGGCTCTCTGTTCCTGGGAGATAATTAGCATACCAGTCTTTAACTCAATTATCTGTCAGGCCCAGAGATTCCTGGGAGGGGCTTGTGTTGAATACAATGGAGACCACCTGCTGTGATCTGTGCATAAAAGGCCAAGTTTGGCTCATTAAAATCAGTTGTACTCCCAGAACTATGCGTCGTCTAGTTACTGGGAGGGGAGTGGGCTCATTACTGCTCAGCACCTTGTTCCATCTTCCGGCGGGGAAAGTCCTTGTAAGGACCAGTGCTCGCAGTACTGTGTGTCGTCTAGTGCCTGGGAGGGAATAGAGCTAGTGCCCTATCCTTTTCCAGGACAGAGAGGCTCTAGAGAGGCGACTAGGGCAGAAGCGCTGAGGTTTTCCCCAGTTCCAGCTAGTAAGGTACCCAGCCAGGGTACAGGGAGCACGGCTTTAGTCTTGGTCACTGCAATCATGGTTGTAGGTGGGCTGAAACAAAGACCTGCTTGAACAGATCTGCTTTAACTGATTCTTCAATAGGACCACATCTTCTGGCTTGAAAATGTGGGTTCTGTCACTCCTGTATCATAGGAGCAATCTTACTTGTAACCCATGGAAAAGGGAAAGGTCCTCCCATTAAACTCTTTACACAGTATTCTGGCCACAGTGGCAGAATTCTCTTTTGCAGTACTGAAGGCTTCAACCCACTTACGAAATTGGTCCGTTATATCCTATAAGTATTGGATCCCCCTTTGGCTTTGGGCATATGTGCAAAGTCAATCTGTAACTGTTACATAGGCCCTTTAGGGGGCAGGAGGTGTTCATGTATTTCATGTGTAACACAATCTGGATTATTTCTTGTGCAGGTGAGGCACCTGCTTACCTGTATTTCTACAATGTGGCTTAGGACCTTGTTACCCACTTACTAAATTAATCCTTTATATCCTATAAGTATTGGATCCCCCTTTGGCTTTGGGCATATGTGGAAAGTCAATCTGTAACTGCTGCATAGGCCCTTTAGGGCACAGGAGGTGTTCATGTTTTGCATGAGTAACAAAATCTGGATTATTTCTTGCGCAGGTGAAGCACCTGCTTAACTGTATCTCTACAATGTGGCCTAAAACCTTGTTTCAATGAGTTCCTCTGTCTGCTTTTTACTTATGGTGCCAAATCTATTAAAATTACTTACACAAATTGGTGCTGCTGCTTTAGGGATATCCATTCTACCGTTTGGCCCTTGCAAGGCCTTATGGAGGTGCTATAAAAGAGTAAGTTCAGGTGAAGGGAGCATGGTAGGAATCTGGTGAAATCCATCCCTAGTGATGACAGCATCTAGATGCTTGGAATAACAGAAAGCATTTTTCAGCACATCAAGAGTATCTGAAGATAACCACAAAATACAGGGATCTAATAAAGAAGTGTTTAAATCAGCAAGTACAACAAAATGACTCACTGATGGAGGGGGTGGCCAGCATGTTGCACAAGTCAGGAGTGCATGTGAGTGCATGTGAATAACATTTAATAACACCTGTACAGTCACATGGAATAAAAGTCTCAGTATCCTCTTCACCCACATTTAAACCAGTAAACATCGTTGGTGCAACAAATATATACAGCATGTGATGTTAACAGTCACTGCTATGTCATTCTGTGAATTAATAGGTGCAGTATCTCGGGAATCAATATTTGAATCAAACTATTTAGGGGGATACACCTTGACAGGGTGAGAAACAACATTTTCTATCACCGATCAAATCTTGAGAAAATGAGAAATCTATTAGAACATCTCCTTTTGGATCTATGAAAATTACTATACCCAAATGTGCCATAAGGTCACGGCCAAGCAGATTAACTGGACAGTTTGGTACAACCATAAATTAATGAACCTTGAACAAGGGCTGTTGCTGAGCACTTGTGACATTGAGTGGCATTGTTTTAGAACACTCAATGTGGGCCAACAGAGAATTCGCTTGTAGGGAACACAAGACCATGGTAACATTTTTGGGACAAACAGAATTTGGTAGCACCAGTGTAGACTAGAAAATCATAGTGGATTCTATTAACATGGAAAGTTACCACTACCAACCAATTACCTTTTAACAAGTACAGTACTCAGGCTTCAAATAATCAAGGCAGTGTTGAATATATAAATACAACAGGAAATAAGCGCTCACTACACAGTACAACAAAGGGATGGGCAGCAGAGAATCTGTGAGACTTCCGAAAAAATCTCACCAAGAGAACAAATATAGGTAGACAGAGTGATAATATATAACTGTTGCATACCTGGAGCCTCAGTAAACAGAGAAACATAGAATGTGATGGCAGATAAGAACCATTTTGCCAATCTAGTCTGCTCAATTTTCGAAATACTTTAATTAGTCCCTGGCCTTATTTTATAGCTAGAATAGCCTTATGCTTATCCCACGCATGCTCACTGTGTTAAAGTCTACCGCTTTAGTTGTAAGGCTATTTAGGCTATTTCATGCATCCACTACCTTCTCACTAAAGTAATATTTCCTGATATTATTTTTAAACCTTTGTCCCTCTAATTTAAGACTATATTCTCTTGATTTTCTTCTTTTAAATATACTTTCCTCTTTTGCTGTGTTGATCCCCTTAATGTATTTAAATGTTTCTATCATATCCCCCCTGTCTTGTCTTTCCTCCAAGCTGTACATGTTAAGATCCTTTAACCTTTCCTGGTAAGTTTTATCCTGCAATCCATGATTCAGTTTTGTAGCCCTTCTCTGAACTCTCTCTAAAGCATCAATATCCTTCTGGAGATACGGTCTTCAGTACTGTGCACAATACTCCAAGTGAGGGCTCACCAGTGCTCTGTACAATGAGCACTTCCTCCCTCTTTCTACTGGTAGTACCTGTCCATATAAAATCAAGAATTCTGCTAGCATTTCCTGCTGCTCTAGTACATTGTCTGTCTACCTTTAAGTCATCTGAAATAATTACCCCTATCAAATATTTTATACTCTGCCCTTGGGTGTTTACACCCAAGATGCATTATCTTGCACATTAAATGTCAGTTGCCACAGTTTTGACCACTTTTCTGGTTTACCTAAATCAATTGCTATTTGGTTTATCTCTCCTGTAACATCAACCCTGTTGCAAATGTTTGTATCATCAGCAAAAAGCCATACCTTACCATCTAGACCTTCTGCAATATCACAAATAAAAATATTAAAGAGAATGGGTCCAAGTACAGATCCCTGAGGTACCCCACTGGTAACAAAACCTTGCTTAGAATATACTCAATTGACTACAATTCTCTGTTGCCTTCCACTCACCCACTGCTTAACCCATTCAACAATATTGGAATATGGGAATCCAAACTCAAAAATTTCAGTTTAATTGTAATTTGGCTACATGTTTTTTTCACTAAATAATTGTTGTATACACCTATATATTGCTTGTGTGATGTGTGCTTTATCAGCTTGACAAAGGCCCTTAGGGGTCGAAACGTTGCTGTTTGGTTCCTTGTTCCAATAAAGATTGCCTATATTTTGGAATTAATTGGAGTGCCTGGATTACTTTCTATATTCAAATGCTACAATTGGTCCTTTTTTGGTACTGGGGCTTATCCATTTGAGCACCCTGAATTCCAGACGAAGAATTGAGTGCACTTCCATCATCTATACAAGCTAATCTTATAGATCTGTCACTTCCTCACTCTGTTTTTTTTTATAATTACTAAATGTTATTTTTGTTTTTTGAGTACCAGAGTGAGTTCCTTACCTTTTTGCTCTTACTGACAA